ATTTCACAACCCCTCTCCAAATCAGTGAAAGATACAGTCAAGGACACTATACCGAGAGAATATCTATACGGCACCGATTTGGCGGAAAAAATTGGAATGGCGAGAATTACGAAAAAGGCTGGGAATGAGTTAAGGCCAAACGGTTACAGCAACAAGGCAGGATCATCTGGGATCAGAAGAGGAGGATGGCATACCTCTAAGCGCCAGCATGGTACCTCCAAAAGTGCATATGTCCCTCGTAATCCACATAAAGAGATTATATACGTAGCTACCGCCCGTCTTTAAACAGGCAAGGCCCGCCTCAACAGTCACGGAGGGACTCGGGGCCGAGAAAAGGGCAAACCTCAAAGCAGCGTCGCCCTCCAGTGAGCAGGTACCTATAGAGGTAAGCAATTCCAAGCTAACAGGTAGACTGTCCCATTTTGTTGAGGTCTGAAAATGTATAACAAACAACTCAACAGTTCTTTCTTCTTACAGCAACACCTTTCCAGAAAAACCAGAGAAATCAAACTGCCCACATTAGGTATGACAAATTTAGTTGCTTTGGCAATCAACAAGCTACTAGATATCGGAGCAGTATCACAGTGTACGGAGAGGAAGGATCAATACCTTATTTCTTAGTTGAAAATTCCAACGGAAAGAAACGGTTCATTTTGAACTTAAAAAACTTTAGTGAATTTATGAGGTACGAACAAGCATTTCAAAATAGAAGATTTTCGGACAGTCCTAAAGCTATTGCACAAGCAATATTGGATGGCAACCATTGACCTGAAAGACGCATATTTCCTAATATCAACAGAAAAACCATTCAGGAAATATTTAAGATTCAGGTTCAATTCTACTACCCTTGAATTTACTTGCTTACCATATGGACTTTCTTCAGCACCATACTGCTTCACAAAAATAATGCGACCCGTCCTTGAAACCTTACGCACTCAATGGATTCTTTTTGGTCAATTATTATTTAGATGATTTCCTTATTATCAGCGACTTGTCTCAAAAGTGTAGACAAATTGTACTACAGACCTTAGGATCCATCATAAACTTTGAGATAAGTACATTGACACCTGAACAGAACAAGGCATTTTTAGGATTTCAATACGACACTAAAAACATCACAGTGTCCCTACCGTCGTATAAGAAAATATACTCGTACATTAGGAACATGTTATCTTTTTTCCAAAAAAGACTTTCTTGCAGTATAAGAGAATTGGCACAGTTTATAGGCACATTGACTTCGGCCTGTCCTGATGTTAAGTACGGATGGTTGTACACTAAGCGACTGGAGCGACCCAGATGTTCAGCCCCAGAAACGAAAACTGTGACAGAATAACAGCCTTGCCACATGATTTCATAGGTAGTGACCTAAACTGGTGGGAGCAAATCATTTTAAATGCGGAAGCTGATATTAAACAGGCAGACTATAGTATGACTAGACACAGACACATCGCTGACTGGCTGGGGTGCAAACGACAAAACTCATGGGTTTTGGTCCACTTCAGAAGAAGGTAAACATATAAACTACTCAGAACTTATACAGCTATCCGTTATGGCCTAAAATGCTTCGCTCAAGGTGCAAGAGACTGCGGTATTCTGATTAGATCAGATAATACTACGGCAGTATTTATCTTGCATTAACCGCTTGGGCAGCATACAATCTACCGAGCTTAACAACAGGATACAAGATATATGGGAATGGTGTCAGACAGAGATATCTGGATATTCGCATCATACGTCAACACAAAAGATAATCACGAGGCCGACAGGGAGTCTGGGGTGGTGTCGTCAGAAACAGAATGGTCACTGGTAGATTCAGCATTCAAAGTGATAAAAGACGAATTTTTATCACCTGAAATCGACCTTTTTGCTTCAAGAAAAAATCACAAATGTCGACGCTATGACTCCTGGTGAAAAGATCAAGTTACGATAGCAGTTGATGCATTTATAATCAGCTGGACAGATATGTATTTTTATGCATTTTCTCCGTTCTGCTTAATCCTAAAATTATCGAAGATAGAGCTGAGGGAGTTTTAATAATACCAGACTGGCGTGGCCGGGCATGGTATCCGCTTATAGAAAAACTGAAAGTAGGAACATCTGTTACCTTTAGACCTAACTTCAATCTCTTGTCTTCTCCTTCCAGTTCGACTCATCCTCTGGCCAGCAAGCTGTCTTTAGTGGCCGTGTAATTATCCGCCAGGGTTTCCAACTAAAAGGGATATTGCACGAGGTAGTAAATACCATAATTGAGTCAATATTGCCACCTACCATTAGCCAACACTCGTGTACTTACCGACTATGGTGAAGGTACTGTGAAGAGAAGCAAAGATCGGTATTTAAAGCAAACGCTCTATAGGTAATAAAATTCCTTCAGTACATTATAAATACAACCGAGTTGAATTACGGAAGTATAAACAGCCACAGATCGGCTGTCTCACTTATATTCCCCGACAACGTAGGTTCGCACCGTCTAATGAAACGCTTCATGAAAGTGGTTGCCAGAAGAAGACCAATGAACCCAAGGTATAAGTTCACGTGGGATCCACAACCAGTTCTTACTGCATTAGTTAATATGCATGAAAATCATCTTAACAATCTTACCCAAAAATTAGTGACCCTACCTACTGTCTCTGGTTACTGGTGGTGACCTTCAAACGATCTCCTTGATTCGGGTATCAAATAAAAGATCAGCCTTTTCTGAGTCTACTCTTTTTTACGCCAAAGCCTTCAGCTTCAACAGTGCTCCAGTATTTAGATTCGACGAAAGAAATCCGAAATAATGAAGATTTCTTATTTTTATCATATGTAAAACCACACAAAAAAGCAACAAAACAAACCCTCGGCGGTTGGATAAGGCAGTCACTTACTTCGTCGGAATAAATACTACAGTATTTAAACCTCATTCAAAAAGACACTCGGCAACGCAGCAGTCCGTAGGTAGGGCTGTCGGTCGAAACTATAGAGATTTTTTCGCGAGATCCCGTAGTGAACAGGACCGGGAACAGATGGAATTTCCCCTTCCTCTCGAAGTTTTGACAGCTTCTAGTTACACCGGGAGTAGTTAGATGACGCATGTTGCGCAAAATGTTAGCTTTAAGAACCTTGATAAACTTAGCTGTCTTGTTAGAACCTGAATTGGTCCGAGTAAAGACAATTATTGAAATATACTCTACTAGACTCTAAAAGAGTATCCATAGCGAAATTTTTCTCGAAATCGTTGCACGCCGCTTAAAAAATGCAAATGAAGTTTGGAAAACTGCTGCTTTGACGTACCTAATATATGACTCCGTCGTTACCCCGGGATAGACATACGTTTTGGCAGTTGACCTTGTCATTCTTGCTACCTAGATTGCGGCGTTGCCAGCTCATCGGACAATTTTGCTACCTCTGGTATTTTGCTAGAATGTTACAAAAAAGTAGCTTTGCATAAAATATTGAGAGATGCCAATGGAGATATATAAAATTTTAGGCGTAGCAATGTTTGACAAAAAAACTAAAAAAAAGCTGTTATTTATTAACGTTAATGTCTCTGAACACCTTTATAAATGCCCAGTTTTATAGGATAAAATACTTTTTGAATAATTGGAAAAAGAATACATTTTTTAAATTATATAAATATATTTATTATGTATTTGATCTAAAATTACATGATCATTAATAGGAGAAGTACGATTTTCATTTTCTCTACTATTTAGTAGGGGAATATGGTTTTTAGTGACTGCATTCGCACTTGGGCGAGGAAAACCCTAGAAAACCTCAACCGTCACTGCTAAAATTAATTGTATCAGCTGAAGCAAAATCAAGTCGTTCCAAAATTCTGGCTTCATTTATACAATCGAAAATTGCCAGCATGCCACAGTTGTTAACCTAAAAAAAAAATAGCATTGAAGTAACGGTTTATACGAGGGTAATTTTTTAAGTAAGAACCGTTTTGTCAGATAAATTTTATTTACGAATGTAAATTGTATCACAAACTAAAATATAAACATTTTTTCATTTTTCAACATAGCCATCATAAACATTCAAACACAAGTCAAGCCGTGGCACCAGTTTTTGTCTTAATGTAGCATCTGAAACTTATCCTGCGGTTTTCATGACGACTATTTCCCTCGTCTTAATTTCTACCAATCACAAACACGGAATTTTGAATTACAAATGTTTCTAGATAAAAAAATTGTATAACAGTATCTGTCAGCAGTTTTTCCTGTTTACCCGCGGCAAAATTTGACAGCTGTTGTCACCAAAAATTACAATACCTTTGATAACAGGTAATTATGGCCTCCTAGGCCAGCAGAAGACGCCGCTAAGCTAAATTTTGTAATACTGTTTTTAAACAGCGCTAGTCAGCCTATGTAATGAAAATGAGTCACTTTGGAGGAGATTCTTTGACTAATATTGATCTGGCGATTGAGATATACCTCAGTATATCACTAATCTCTCAGTGTATGCAATGTGCGCAATTTATTTAAAAAAACATAGGATGTCAACCCTAACACACAACTAGATGAGTATGCAAGGTTCACCTAGTTTGCTGCGCAGATATCCTGTTTCCGTCAGAGGAGTTGAAGGTAGACCTAACTTACACTTTGGAGACACTTGACACCCACCTCACAACACTAAAACACCAAAGCAATACTGAGAGACTATCGAAAACCCTATAGTGAACACCACTACTGAAAAAAAGTAGCTAAACCGAATAGAGCTCTGCACGGAGCTGTGAACGCCTAGACATTCCGTTGCGTCGACGGTTGCCAAAAGACTGATGCGTGTGAGTGCTACCGGTTAACGTAAACATCGAGTCGCTTCGGGAGCAGACGCGCGGAGTGGGAGCTGGAAAGGGGCGTGGCTATACTACACGGACGTACCATATCGCCGCATAGAGGTACAGCAATCGCACGCTTCAGTCTCTCGGCAACCGTCGGCGCAGCGGAATGTCTACGCGTTCACAGCTCCGTACAGAGCTCTATTCGGTTTAACTACTTTTTTTTCAGTAGTGGTGTTTACTATAGAGTTCTCGATTGTCTATCAGTGGTGCCTTGGTGTTTTGGTGTTGTGACGTGGGTGTCAAGCGTCTCCAAAGTGGAAATTAGGACTACTTCCAACTCTTCTGAGGGTAACAGGATATCTGTGCAGGAAACTAGGTGAACCTTGCATACTCATCTAATTATGTGTAAGGGTTGACATCCTATGTTTTTTAAATAAATATACTGAGGTATCCGTGAAAAATTAAAATTTGGCCAAATCGCTTTCATTTTTATTTTAAGAAATGTCAAAAAACTAATGGCACTATTCAGGCACTACATGATGGTGTTTTTAAAAAAGTGCTACACTGCTATTTCTACCACGTCAACGATGTATCACGTTACATTTGTTTTTTAGCTTTAGTTAGTAAGATTGTGTGATTACTGAGTTCAACCTAGTCTGATCCTTATCTTGGCCACCCTGTGATACATTATAATTATAAAAAGAAATTTACAGAAACGTGCACTAATCTAACGTTCTTGTAAGTATTCTTATGTACTTACATTCATTTCTGAAAAATCTCAAACTATTAGCAAGGCCTCGAACACCAGGTCCAAGGAATTGCTGATAGCAGAGGTAGCAAAATCGTCCAATGAGCTGGCAGCGCCGCAATTCAGATGACAAGAATGGCAAGATCAACTTTCAAAACGTATGTCTATCCCGGGGTAACGACGGAGTCATTTAGAACGTCAATGCGGCAGTTTTCCAATCTTCATTTGCATATTTTTAAGTTTTGTGCAACGATTTCGAGAAAATTTTAGCTACGGATACTCTCTTAGAGTATATTTCAATAGTTGTTTTGCGTGGCCATATTATCCTTACTCGGGCCTCTGAATTAATAATCCAGATCGCTTTTTGTGCAATGTACATATACAGGGTGTAAACGTGATAACAGTCATTATTTAAATGGGTGATAGAGGGGGTTAAAAGAAGCAAAAGGTTTCATATAACATGGGGGTCACAACGGCCTTTTTCAGAGAAAAGCGACTTTGAAGTAAAATAAAATCTGACAACGCCGCAATGCCAGACGCAAATTACGAACGCAGTGTAAATAAAGATGGAGTTTGTAATTTTTGACTTCTAGGTGTATTTCATTATTTGATAATGTACTCGCAAAATGCAAACAATTAAAAAAAACGGACTAACTATCTCAGCGCTTCACCTGGTGTGTGAAAGTTTATTGAACGTATTAAAAAAATCCACTTATAAATAGGGAACACAATTTTGATACATACATTGGTTTTCTTTTTAAAACCCACTCTGCACTTTTTTGTATTTAAAGAAGGTGTTCAAAATGTCGTCCTCCACTTTCTACACAAGCTTCATTACGACGAACCTCTTCTTACTCTAGGTCCTCGAAGTTATCCATTTATTATTTCAGCCGCATTAAATTTTTTTTCGCGAAGTTGTGCTTCAGTTGTTATTGGACCAGCCCTATAAACCATCTCCTTAAATTCTCCCCAATACCAGAAATCCATCGAATTGAGGTCAGGAGATCTTGCTGGCCATTTTCGAGGATCAGGAGCATTTCGACCGATTTGGATAATGTCCATTCAAATCCTGAATGACGCCTTTAAAAATGTGTGGTGGTGCCCCGTCATGAAGAAACCACAAATTCTGTCTCCGTTGTAATGGCATGTTGTCTAAGGTCTCTTCCAAAAGTTCTGGTAGTTTATTGGCTAGAAAGCTAAGGTATCCTTCTCCTGACAACTTTGGGGGTAACTCGAAAGAGCCAATTACCTGATCGTCAAGAATACCCACCCAAATATTTATTTTACAACATTGTTGGAAATGACCTTCACGAATGGTATGAGGATTTTCTTGGGCCCACGTGTGAGTATTATGGAAATTCAATATCGCGTCTCGCGTAAAAGTACATTCGTCCGTCACTAGAATGTCTTTTAAAAAATCCGGATTTTCAACGTTTTGTACAATAACCACTGACAGAATATTAGTCTGCGAGGATAGTCTTCTGGTAACAAGGCCTGCACTCGTTGTACATGCTAGGGATAAAGCAGACTTTCCTGTAGGATTCTATGGATTATGGTATCCGATAGTCCTACGCGGCGGCCTAATTCCCTATATCTGCATTGATTTCCACGATATTTAAAATTTGTTCCTCCTGCTCTACAGTAACCTGTCTTTCACGAGTGCGAATATTAGTGGGCTGAACACTTTCTGTATCTCGAAGTCTTTCGTACACTTGCACAAATGTCCTTCTGTCTGGATGTAGCCGTTGGCGAAATCTGTCGCGATAAATTTGAGCTGCAAGATTTGAATTCTGACGAGCTTCACCGTAAACTAACAACATGTCGGCGAACTTTTGATTCGAGAACATTGTAAATAAACACGACTACGTACGCGAACAATAACTAACCACTGTTACCGTTTGCGATCGATTGCCGGATCGATAAGAGTGATGAATGACCGACGCGCTGTTGCCATGTGTGTTTTAAATATTCAATTTAATGAAACTTACTTAATGACTACAAATTTTGGCATAACCTAGAAAAACTTAATGCCATTTATTTATTAATTACACAATTTAAAAACGTTTTAGATTAGATTATAAAAATTAGTAAGATTGTGGTGAATGTGGTCGATATAAAGCACTTAAAGTTGTAAACTATAAAGCCATTTAGACAAAATCTATTGACTTTTGGACCATGGGTCATATGAACTTTTTGACTTGTTTTGACCCCCCCCCCCCTATTATCCATTTTAATAATGACTACCATAACGTTTACATCCTGTATATCTATAAAAATCAAGCATTTGATATGACAAATGCGGCTCCTATATCTTCAATGACCTTCTCGTTCGTCATTTAAAATCAGGTGGACGTGTTTCTCCATTTATGATTTAATAATTTAACTGATTTTTCGGCACTGCGAAGACAAATTTTCAATTGAAATGTATGTTCTTTTAAATGACATTGAAATAAGAACTGTCACCCGCTAGTACCCCATAGACGTTAGGCGGTTACCTGTACCACGTGATTTTTTGGCATTTGGATGACGTCACATCCGTCTTCCCCTATTCCCGTTCTTCGCGAAAACTTGAGTATCGGTTCCCGGTAGTGCACTGTGCTACACCGTGAACTCGCGATACTTTATATATAAAACTGCAGGTTGGTCTCAGAAGACTTTCGCAAGGTTCTACGACCGACTGCTACAGCCGGATGATGACTTTGCGAACAGGGTACTCTCGATGAGTATAAATTAATTAGAATGCTCCTTTTTCGTTTTATTTTTTGTTGTCAAGTTGGAGGAAGCTATGTTTAACTTATTTTGTATAACAGTATAATAAAATTGTCCTCATTTGGACTAAATATGGGTTTTTTGAGTTTTATTGAAAAACATCCATGCATATGTGACTATATCTTTGAACATCTACCTTTTTAGTTGAATACATCTTCGAAATGGACGTGAGATATAATTTAACGATCAAACGAACTTACCTGAAGTTCGATCGTAATTATATCTATCGTACATCCCGCAGATGTAGCAACCCTCCCTTCCCAGAAAGCACTACCTTTCACCCTGCACACATGCATGGCAAAAAACTCTTTGAAGGAATGAGTCAGCAGGCGGCAGTCACAGCCGGTTACAGTGGGACTCGGAAGGCGGCGAAATTTTCCTGAATTGCACTATATTTGATATTCTACACGTTATTATTACGCGTGCAAAGTTGTGGGTTGGTTTATAACGTATGTCCTGAAAGTTTTGGCACAAAATTCATTGGCTTTAATTTTAACAAACACAAAATAATACCTAGTTGCCTTGGAAAAAAACTTTGTTTACCTTGTACTTTACTGTCAGTTGATATTTACTTATTTTGAAGCCTTCGCTTCAAGATGTCGTATACATTAGAAACAAAAAAAAGTATCTACAAGTTGGTTGGGCGAGTACCCAAATCTCAAATCTGTCGAATATTCCAGAATTCCATTTATTGAACAATAGCGAGTGCAAGCAGTATATCTGAATCTCACTGAAGAGCAAAAAATCGGGTTGGAATGTCAACAAGGAGACTGGCTCGTCAATATAGATCTTCTAAGAGTACAATATCGCTGGAGTTGAAGAGGAATGGTCTTGAATATCGAAAGAGACTTAAGTGCCCCAAATACTCTCAAGCGCAACTCATTCGTATACCAAGATTCTGGCGTCAACTGGGTACTCTTTGCCAATGGAAACATCATTATTTTAGATGACGAAAAGTAATTCACTTTGAGTAATTCTGAAATGAAGAAAAGCGACGGATTTTATACGGACAACGTAGACGAATGCCCTGTCAATGTTAGATACAAACATAATGCGAAATTACAGATCAAATCCTTATCTTTTTTTTTTGCTTTAGGACCGAGCCATGCAGCCAGAAACTAGGTTGTATATTTATATTTCAAATTATGGACAAACACACGACGTCACAACATCCATGGCGAAGGCGAGATTCGAACTCACGACCCGGCCGGCCGGCTGATCACTAGCACGACACTCTGACCCACGCGGCCAACCGAGGTGCGCAATTTCTAACAGGGGTGTATCCCAACCTTTTGTAGGAAGAGTGAGGGGTGAAACTTCGAATAGTCAGAGCTCTATTGATAACCGCCTCAAATTGCTTCAGTTTATCCACGAACATCATGATAATGACGATATCATGTTTTGGCCAGACGTAGCATGAGCCATTACTCAAGAGATACCCAAAACCAGCTTCGCTAACACATCATACCTTTTGTTCCCAAAGACGATAATCCTCCAAACTTGCCGCCGGCTCGCCCGATAGAAGAGTTTTGAGATTTAATGTCTAGGAAGGTTCATCATGGAGGCTGGGAAGTCCAAGATAAAGAACAATTAACGGGGCTCCTACAATCACGAGCACCATCTGCTGAGGTAACGGGAGGGTGAAAAGGAAACGATTGTGGGCTGGTCTTAGACGGTGGTCGGCGCTACTTTAAAAGAGGAAAGGATAACTGCGGGTGCCTACCGAGGTAAATTTTTGTAATAACAGAGTCGGACTTCGATTAGCGATCTAGCATGTAAATCGTTTCCTATTTTGGTACTCAGCTAGCGATCATTTAGTATTGTTCTACCCTTGTTACTGTTCGTCGATATTGTGTTGTTGAATTGTTGTGTTGTGCTCTTGTTGGTGTGATTGTTCTTGAGTGAATTTTTTATCAAGGTTGATAATGGACAATAAAAGGTCATATGCGACAATTTAATTACGAATTCAGTGAGTTTAATTCATGATGAGGACAACAATAGTGTGGAGCAGTTCAACTCTATAATCGGAAAATACATTGGGGTAAGCGAATAAATTATTGCAA